AGTACACAGTCAAAAGTATGTACTATTCTTGCAGAGGACCAGAGTTTGGTTCCTAGTGCCTATATCAGGTAGCTCACAACTGCCTGTAACTTCAGATTCAGGGGCTATGATTGCCCTGGGGCTGGAGAGATGGCTCAGTGCTTAAGATGGCTTGTTTTTCTTTCAGAGGACCTAGGTTTAGTTCCCAGCACCCACATCAGGTGGTTCACAGCCACTTCTAACTTCAGTTCCAGGGGATCCAATACCCTCTTTTGGCCTCTATGGGCAAATCACTGCATGCAGGTGGTACACACACAAACATGCTAACAAAATATTCATACGTATAAAATACAAAAAAGGAGCTCTTTAAAATGAAGCTAAAATAAATCTTTAAAATAGCTGAATAATGATATCTCATATATTAAATTATATTTGTTTATGTCTAGTAATATTGAATACTTTTGGATATGTATATCCAAAGTTTGTATATCCTCATTAACAGTATGTCTCTTTGTAGCTTCTGTCCATTTTCTAGTTGGATTTAAAATAAAAAAATTTTGTTAAGTTTTAACAAAATTTTTTTTTAAATACGCATTAATTTGGTTTCTGTTTCTTGGGTACCTAATCCTCACTGGCATCTGCTCTGCATGTAAAGACAGTCAAAAGAGCTGACATTAATTGAGCCCATTCTTTGTGCCAGACACTGTTCTAAGCGACACACAGGTCTGCGTTCACTTGAAAAGAGATGTTCTTATAAACACAATCTGCTTTTGTTATAAACAGGAACTGCCATTATAACTCAGTTCACAAATCCAATCAACAGCATAAACAAGTGCCTCCCGCCATCCAACACTGCTAAAACTTAGACTGGCTGAGTTTATTTGTGTCTCTGTTGGTTGAAAGAGAACTGAAGGTGTCACAAGGGCTCATGAGTCAGAGACGCTACTCTTCCAGTGAGACAAGCATTCATATTTAACAATGATGTCATACATACATGTTTTCACTCATGCTGAGAAAATCACTGACAACCAAGTCTTCATAATGAAATCCTCAAACGTTAGTCTCTCCTAGGATAAGGGAAGGAAACAAACGCCTGCTTATGATACAGGCTTGCATTGGTGCAAGCCATAGACACACGGTTATAGGATATATTAGATTTCACACGAGGCTAGGACCCTATTTCCTAAGGACTGAAAGAAGTCTGAGGTTCCACAAGGCTCTAAAGGTTGAGTGTCTCGTGGGTCTTCAGCACAGCTACCTCAGTTCCTTTGGGGACTGGGGCCTCTTCTTTTACCCCATCACCGAATGGCACCTACCCTTGGATTCCTAGTTATAAATAAATGACTTGGGTCTTGATGGTGCAGGGAGTGGAGATGCAGGGACTAGTGTTGTTGTTATGGTGCAGACTGAGCTGTGACAGGTGACCCTGCAGAGGCCATAGTGTGGGACCCACAACCTTGACTGAGGTCCAGCTGCCACATCAGGAGTGCTGCTCACTAGTGCCTGGTCCACCCTGATGCTGGGCTTGGCAGGTGCAGCAATAGCCTCTTGTCACCTAACTTTCTTAGCCAGGCTCTGGGAGTTCCACACACTTAAGTATGAGGGGGCGGCCTTCTGCCTCCCTCAGTGCCCTCCAGCTAAGCTCCTAGCCTTGAGCTGACTGATTCTTTTGCACTTTTGGCCTCTCCGTATAACTTGTTCTTTGGACTTAGTGTTCGGTACATTTGCTTATAGTAATTGTGCTTCTTCCCTTGTTTCATCATCCCTTATCACCTCAGGGAATCCCGTGGCACTTGCCCACCCACTAAAACTCCTCAAGGTGGCTGGACTTGGCTCACCTCTTTCCCCTTTCTAATATTTTCCTACTCCACATACGTTGGAATTCAGATCTAGGCTTCAGCACTTAACAGGTGTACTATTTGGGGCGTTTGTTATAAATGGCATAGGTAATCCTTCTAGAGATTCACTGGTGTGTGTGTGTGTGTGTGTGTGTGTGTGCGCATGGTGTGTGTGCGTGTGTGTATGTAGTGTGTGTGTAGGGTGTGTGTGCATGGTGTGTGTGTGTAGAGTGTGTATGTGTGTGTATGTGTGTAGTGTGTGTATGTGTGTGTATGTGTGTAGTGTGTGTATGTGTGTGTATGTGTGTATGTATGTGTATGTGTGTAGTGTGTGTGTAGAGTGTGTATGTGTGTATGTGTGTGTATGTGTGTAGTGTGTGTATGTGTGTGTGTGTGTATGTGTGTGTATGTGTGTAGTGTGTGTGTAGGGTGTGTGTGTGTAGTGTGTGTGTGTGTGTAGTGTGTGTTTGTGTGCGCATGGTGTGTGTGCGTGTGTGTATGTAGTGTGTGTGTAGGGTGTGTGTGCATGGTGTGTGTGTGTAGAGTGTGTATGTGTGTATGTGTGTGTATGTGTGTAGTGTGTGTGTAGAGTGTGTTGTGTGTAGTGTGTGTATGTGTGTGTATGTGTGTAGTGTGTGTATGTGTGTGTATGTGTGTAGTGTGTGTATGTGTGTGATGTGTGTAGTGTGTGTAGTGTGTGTGTGTGTGTATGTGTGTAGTGTGTGTGTGTATGTGTGTAGTGTGTGTATGTATGTGTGTATGTGTGTGTGTATGTGTGTAGTGTGTGTGTAGAGTGTGTGTGTGTGTAGTGTGTGTGTGTGTATGTGTGTGTATGTGTGTAGTGTGTGTGTGTATGTGTGTGTGTATGTGTGTAGTGTGTGTGTGTATGTGTGTAGTGTGTATGTGTGTGTGTGTGTATGTGTGTGGTCATCCCCTAGCTTAGAAAAGAAGCAGTCCTCTTCATTTCCCTTCTCCTGTCCCCTTTCATCTGACCCTTGTCCCGCCACCCCCCCCCACCTCCTTCAGACCGGGAGACTCAGACCAGCCTTCCCTCCTTTAGTAGCAGCGGATATCTGATTGGTTGCCATCACCATGGCAACCCACTGTCTCTGCTTTCCCTCCCTCCCTTTCCAGAGCCAGCTGATCTGTGTGTGAAGTTCCAGACTCCTCAGGGCTGGGAGGGAAGGCAGACTGGGGGAAGGGAGAGGGCTCCCTTGACGTCCAGACAACCACACGTTGGGATTTGCTTGGATAAGAACTCCCAGCCTGGTGTGCAGTGCAGCCTCTGTGGTCTCCTCCACTGAAAGATCTGCTTCTGATTTGGTGAGGGACTCCTCTGAATCAACTGGGAGCTTGAGGGTCCTGGTTTGGCGGCATGTGGCACACAATTACTGAGTGTCAAACGGGATGGCATTCCTCCCTGATTGCATAGCTGAGGGCAGTGCTCTGAAGCCCGAAGGCAGGCAAGGCCATTCCTTACCAGTCACTCTCCAGCTGTATAAGGTGCCCTCCCCTCATGATGCAAAGTTGGGGGTGTGGAGATGTGTGTGGGTACTGAGAAGATGGCACCAACCAGTGCCAGGGCCTGAGGCTCTGCTTAGTCCCCAAGATGGTGCACAAGGGAATACCTGACGTGTGTACAGCACACAGCAGCTGCCACACCAGATACTCATGTCAATGCGATTGCTATGAAATATTCATTTCAGCACCAGGAGTGGGATGCAGAAGCAGAGGGATCTCTCTGTGAGTTCAAAGCCAGCCTGATCTACATAGTGAGTTCCAGGCCAGCCAGGACTATATAATAAGACCCTGTCTCAAAACAAAACAAAATAACCAAAAAAACCCACAGCAATACAAAAGAAAGAAAAGAAAAGAAAAACTACATAAAGCTGCATCTCATCTTAAAGCATGCGCTGAATTCAAGACAAGTTGTGCTTTCAGTTGACAGGAGGCTGGTGGCAGAGGATGAGGATCTGTTACATGGATCAATATTGAATAGATCTTCCTTAAAGACGAATTCTGACACACTACAGCTTGGATGAGCCTCAAAAACATTACGCCACATGAAGGAAGTGACACAAAGGACAAATACCACATGGCTCAGCTTACATGAGGGGCACAGAACAGGCAGCTTTATTGAACTTCAGAATAGATGTTGGGGAAAGGGGGAGTTATGGCTTAGTTACAGATGAGAGTTTGGGGACATGAAAGTGTTCTAAAGATGGTGGTGGCGATGCTTGGACAACATAGTGATTATAACGCCCCTGAACTGTTTCCTTGTAAAGTGACCAAAAGAACAAAATTTACATTAGATTTTACAGTACAAATTTACACACTTCTAAGAAAAGGGAGAGAAGCAAGGCTAGGTGGTAGAGTGTGGGGACGGTAGATGCACGGAAGGGGGCGTCAGTGGGAAGAGGCACTTGGTGGGAGGGTCTTGCTCCTTAGGGTGCTTGTTACACAGCTGCACCTGCCATCTCCAACTGACAGGCATTGAGTGAGCAACCAGGGAAGCCTGCACAGGGGCTCGCTTCAGTCCCTTGGTGACCCATCTCCTCTCAGGATTCTACCTCGTCTAGAAATCCCCATCTCATAATCTCCAGCTTGGTTTCCCACCTGTGGCTCCCTTGGGTTGGCTCAAGCTGGCTGAGCTGGCTGAGAGAAGACACCAGAGCTAGGCAAATGCTGCAGAGATGTGGAGCAGGGTATTTATGAAGGAGGTCAGAGGGCAGCCCTGCCCTCCTGAGACCCTGGTGGACAGAGCTCCGGGGGGGTTTCTGCAGCCTCTCCTTGCCATCTAAGTCACCCTTCAAACCCATCAGCTCTTCTGACTGAGCTGGAAACCGCGCACCAAGTTCTCCAGGGAGCTATTTTTAGGGTTCATCTGTTCTCTCTTACTGCTCCACTAGATTCCATATTCTCCCACCCCCAGATTTGAAAGAGCTAAAGATTCTCCAAATCATTCATCCTTCCCCCAGCTCACAAGCTGTGCCTGCACCCCCACCTTCTCCATACCCCTCCTCTGCCTGGCCACCCTCGCCCTCCCTTCTCTAGCCCCTGAGGCAAGAGAGAAAGTAGCATCTTTGTCTGACATCATCCTCTTCTCCCAGGCCTGCTAAGAGTTACTCAGGCAATCCCTGTTCCACCAGAGGACACCGTCCAATTGCCAAGCAACCCACTGTTAGCCAATCAGGGAGCTCGGAGGTGATGTCATGGCGAGAGCCCAGCAGTGGTGCTGATGTTGAGAGAAGCCCAGGGTACCACTAATTGAGGGAGTGAGAGGAGAGCAGCTCGCTTCGGAAACCGGACTGCAGGTATGTAGAATGGACATGCGGATAATCCGAGGGCTTCTTTTATTTTATTTTTTTTAACAAAAGAAAGAAACAAAACAGCAACCACAGAGGGGCAGAAGCGAAGGGGCTGGTGTCTATTGTGCTGCTTTGGGTTTTACTGAGTCGATTAAACTTTGTCAAACCCTGGGGGAAACGGCGAGGCCAAAAGGACAGGGGCGAGGGTGGGCTCTGGGCAGCAGTTTTATTCCAGATGGGTGGAACATGCTAGAGGTCCATGCTGTGTTATTGCCACATAAAAAAATGTTATGCTTTTTGAGAGAGAACGGTTTGTGAGAGACGAGCTTCCCATGGGGCTCTGACTTAAGACCCCGCGCCAGCAGCAAGCTGCCGTGCCTTTGACGTTTTCGGCCCTCTGACTCCTGTTCTTGTCTTTTTGGCACCGCGGCTTTTCTTTCTTCGCCTGCTCTGTGCTGTCTTACTTCTTTTTCTCCCAGCCCTAAAGATACAGTGAGATCATCCCCTCTCGCTTGCCCCGCCCCACCCTGAGGTCAACTTGATCCTACCTGGCCCTGCAACTGGAGATGCAAGCTGGCAGGACGGCCACGCCCAGGGTCTCTGGTACTTGACCAGTCACAGCCAGCCCTTTCTCCCCAGCCATGAGTTTTTGCCTCATTGTTTTTTTAAATTCTCATCCAGGGACCTAGGGCTTTGAGGTCCAGCAGGCAGCTGTGTCCCCACGTGGCGGAGCTGTCTTTGTTTTATTTCTCCCGGGAACACACACAGGTGTGGAGAAGCCTCATTGTCCCCTACCTGAGCAGCTCTTAGGGGTAGTTTTAGAGAGCGGATCAGACAGCCTCGGGCCACCTTGTGCGGAGACCCCAGGCAGGGGTACCAAGAGGACAGCAGGTGGGCTGACCTGGAAGTGACCTCCTGGGGCCCTGATGGGTGGGTGGGGAAGGGTTGAGATGGAATGTGGGGGAATCTTGCCTCCCCTGAGGCTGGGCCCCTCTCAGGGGAGGAAAGTGCTCCCTCAGGCGGGTGTGCCCTGTTGGGGCTGGGATGAGATCATTTGTCAGATGTAGAAATAAGGATGGTGCTTGAGGGGAGTGAAGGCAGAGGGGCCAGGTCAATGCACAGCTTCCAGTCCCCTCCTTCGCCCCCTGCCTTGCTGCCGGGAGCTGTGTTCTCCATCCTTTCCCAAGCTGCTGCCCTCCCTCTGGCTGGTCCCGGACCACTTCTCCCCAGCTCCACCCAGCCACATCTAGAACACCTCTAAAGTGATCAGGAGCTTTACCCGCTAGGTGGGTCCACCCCAGAGCCTGCTGCCTAGTGAGAACTGACAGAGGCAGGATGACCTCCCAGGAGCAAGGCAATGCAGGAGATTTCTGCATTGTACTGGAGGTTAATCCAGATCAGTGCTATTCAAACTGCAGGCTGGGCCCCGAGAAGCGCATGAAGTCAATTTTGCAGGTTGTAGCTGATATTAAAAAATTAGATAAGCTAGAATAGGAAAGACAGAACACACCTCATGCAAGGTACTCTATTCCTGTGCCTCTTTCCGTTCTATGCTTTTAGCTATATGTGCATATATATGTATAAATGTTTGTGTAGTATCCACATATTTATGGTGCACATGTGATATGTATGTGCTGGATCATGCCATAAAATCTGTTTTGTTTTGTTTTTTGGAGGCAGTGTCTCCTTGTAGCCCCTGCTGGCCTTGAACTCACTATGTAGATCAGGCTGGCCTCAGTCTCACAGAGATCCACCTGACTCTGCCTTATGAGTACAGGGATTAAAGGTGTGTACCACCACACCCAGTTTAAAATTTCATTTTTATTTCGGATTACTGTCAATAAAAAATTAAGAATGGCTTGACTAAATGGCTTCTGATAGTCTCTTCTAGCCCCAAGATTACAAGTTTATGGAAAATTTGCTAGACTACAAACTTTTAAAGGAATCTTAAAAAATTTTAATTGCAGTAAAATGCAATCGACATGAAAATGATCATTTTCATTATTTTAAGTGCACAGTGTTGTCCATTCAGAAATCTTTTCATCCTGCAGATTTGAGACTGTGACCCTGTTAAGTGCCAACACTTTATACTGTCTCATTGGATTGGCAATCCCCAGTCTCCTTTTGGCCTCTGTGAGTCTGACCCTGTCAGGTGTCTGGTAGCAATAGACTCATCGTTTGCCCTTTTGTGGCTGGTTTATTTTACTTGGTATGATGCTCTCCATTTTCTTCCATGTTGTAGACTTTGTGGCCCTGTTCCCAGGTACCAATGAAGTGTTCCAAAGTCTTGCTTTATATGGAAACTATGTTTATTTAGGGATATACTGTGTTCAGAAAGACTCTTGAAAGAGAAGTGTGATCAAATAGCACCAAACCCAGCAAAATGTTGAACAGATATACCACAGTCCCCATTCATGGCTTTACCATCTTCTGCCTCAATTACCCAAGATCTATTACATCCAAAAATGTTAAATGGAAAATTCCAGAAAAACCGATTCATAAGTTCTAAGTAACTATTACTGACATAATGTTATTATTTTTCTATTTCATTACTATTGTTAGTGTTCAGGGTCCCCAAAATTCCCTGAATTGACCACTTGGACACTGAGACTCAGGAGAACTTCACTGCTTTATTGAAACCAACCAGCCGGGACACAGGCAAGCATGGGAGCTGCACTGCGACCCAGAGCCATGGAAACGCAGGGCTTTTAAGCACAAAAACTGCAGAGCAGGGGATTTCTATAGAAACCATAAACAGAAGAACCAGGAAAGGATTTGAACAATCTAGGGCTGATTTCCAGAACCTTAACCTATACAGCCATTGGCTAGCTTACCTGGGGCAGAACGTTCTTCCTTTTCTGCCCCGGACCTTCTCCATAGAAACCATAAACAGATGTACCAGGAAAGGGTTTGAACAATGGAGGGGATTTCCAGAGTCAGGCAAAGGGCAGCTTTTTCTCAGAGGATAGGGAGGGGTCTGAGAGGCACTGTCCTTCATTAGGCTTTAAAAAATTTGCTATATCTTATTTATTTTTATTTTGTGTGCATGAGTGTTTTACCTGCATGTATGTAAGTGCACCACGTGCGTACAATGCCCATGGAAGCCAGAAGAGGGCATCAGATCCCCTAAAACTGGAGTTATGGACAGTTGTTAGCTGTCACGTGGGTGCTGTGAACTCAACCTGGGTCCTCTGCAAGAGTAGCCAGTGCTCTTAACTACTGAGCCTTCTCTCCAGACCCTGTTGTTAGTTTTTCTTTAATTGTGCCTTACTGTATTCTAGGCATGTATGTTTAGGAGGAGACATGGTGTATGTAGAGTTCAGCACTGTCTGTAGTTTCAGGCATCCAAGGACCCTCTTGGAATGTATCTCCTACAGATAAGAGGCAAGGGAGTTGGGTATTATTGGTAGAGGGGAAGAGAGAGTGTCATGTTTTTGTTTGGATGGGTAATGACTATTTAGATTCTATTTTAGCTCAAAGGAAAAAAAAAAAAGAGGAATCTAGGTGTGAAGCTGGCTGCCTTCCACCATTTGACCTGGCCATTTAAACCACAGTTGACCTGTAGATGGGAACTCAGTTGGTTGATAGTTAAAAACAAATAACCAGGGTGGAGATTTAGGGATGTGCTCGGTAGCAGAGTGCTTGCCTACCAAGCACAGAGTCCTGGGTTCAGTCTCTAGTATTTAAGACGAAATAAAACTCAGCATCAAAAACTGAGAAACTGAAATTCAGAGAGTAATGAAGAGGGTCAAGGAGCATAAAGCAGGTGAGAAGGAAGTGAAGAGAAGAGAGGAGAGAGGCTGGTACCCAGCCAACCACATGGAGAGAACACAGAAATGTAAATCTTCCTGTGTTCCTGATTTTAAACACTAAGATTGAACGGTCAAGTTAAAATCAAAGAAAAGCTCATTTTTCTCCAGAAACTCTTAGGTCCTGTCCTCTAGGTCTCTTTTCCTGTTTTTACATTACTTCCTACCTACCTGAAGACCCTCATTTGGAGACAAAATTCCTAGGGATTTTGAAGTCTTAGGTGGAAAGACATGATATTCTTTTAGGGAGGGGCAAAGAAATTTGGGGGGAATTATGTGACATTTTGAAAATGCCTGATAGAGAACCAAACTTCTTTTACTTACTTGGAGAAATAATCAAGTGTCCTGTATTACTTGATGTATTCGTCACTTTTCTGTTGCTGTGATAGAAACACTGACCCAAGCAGTTTATAGAAGAAACAGTTTATTTGAGCTTACGGTTCTAGAGGAATTACAGTCCATCATGGCAGGGAGGCATGGTGGCTGGAGGTGGCTGGAGCAGGAGCAGCAGAAGTGAAGCTCTCGCATCATCACACGGGAAGCAAGAGAGCGACTGGAGATCTGGCAAGGCTTAAGAACTCTCTAAGCCCACCCTCAGTGACAGGCTTCCTCCAGGATAGCCACACCTCCTAAAACCTCCCAGAACAGCACCATCATCTGGTGACAAAATGTCCAAACACTTGGAGCCTATGGGGGACATTTTCATTTAAACTACCACACTTGATTTGCTTATTAAATTAGTATTTGCTATATTTAGAGATGTGACAATCTGGGACAGTTTTCCCCCTTTGGAGAAGAGATGAGGATCAAAAAAAATCTCCCATTATTTTAAAAAAGTATTTATTCCTTGAGAATTTAATATATGAATATATTATATTTTGATCATATCCACCCCTCACTTCCCCCTCCTTCTCTCCTCCCTTGCTATTTTTTAAAAAGCATTTAGATTTTTACATTCTAGTCCCCAAAAGGAAGAAAGAAGTTATATAGAGACACATACCACCCCTCACACATATGTCCCTGCTACCCTACCCCTCCATACGCACATGTACCTCCTCATGCACCAAAGCCAAGCTCAGAAGTCTCCTCTGTTCATTGGAGCTGTGTGTCCTTGCCCATAGGGTCCTACTGTCTCAGGTAGGTTGTGGGAGCCAGAGAAATGGGACACATCTGAAGGTGCAGGAGCCTGGAGGTGGC